TACTTTTTAACAACTTATCTTACATGTAGCGACCATGATAAGATATTTGTCTAGTGTTACACCTAGATTTGCATACTTTCGACTGAGTCGAGTACATTATTACTGTAATGAATACAAGTATTATTAGTTATATTTTTTCTTTTAGAACCAAAAAGTAATGTTTGGTCCATCTTATTTTAGCCATTTCAAGATACTGTCAAAGTATTTTTTGGAGATTGCATTCACAAACTTTATGATCCTTTTCATGATGAAATACTGCCGTGTCATCTGCATTGAGAAAAGCTTTGTCTTGGAGTTGCAGGTTACAAATACCATTCACATAGAGGCAAAATATTAATGACCCAGTATTGATCCTTATGGAATTCCTGATTCCGAAGTTAGAAAATTACTTGGGTACATGTCTTATCAATAATTTTCTTAATTTGTTTGTAACCTTCCAAAGAAGTTCTTTCCGCTTCTTAGTGAGGCTTTCATTGATGTAGACATGGTGTTTATTCTCATCGCTAAGATTCTTTAACTTGGATCGTGCACTGTAGACCTGTTCTCGGGTGCGATAGCTATTGAATTTAACAATGAAATTCCTGGGTGTGTGGCTATAGCTGGTCGTCCCGGTGCGCGGTTTCGTCGATCCATCGCTTTGGCATTTCTGCTGCCCAAGTGATTAGTCTCTTGATAGACCTTTATGTTGTAACACACATATTGAGATAAACATGTCATTTTCGGGATGCTAGTTATGATAGCCACATCAATGTGTTTGTACGTATTAAACGTGTGTGTACGTTACGGTAGTGAACATGGAAAACTGTATTCAAAGGGGATACGATTTAGAGGATAAATCTTTTTTTGAATACGAGAATATTGTCTCCATCGCAAGCAAAAAGTTTCCCTGATGACGTCATCAACACCCGAGATGATAGAAGGTGACACTCCCTATCCTCCAGTGAGTCCAGTTCTATTGATAGAGGGAATGATGCTACTCTTATCTTCTCGATGTCATCCCCGCTCATCACCTGATCAATCACACACATACCATACTCCTCATCTGATGATACGATGTAGAGGTCGGCTGTCAAAGGATCGATACAGGCATTCATGATGGCATCACTGTGGGTGATTTCCCTTTGAGCACCCTGCCTGTCGATAATGAACACTCTGTGATCTAAGGGTGAGGGTTGAGCGATGATGTGACCTGATGATAGTACACCGCGCATCAATATTATGTGTTTACATGCGATGGTATTCATGATCTTACCATCATCTGGGTTGATGACGTATATCTTAGACTGACCTCCCTCAGCAGCGATGATCATCCCAACCTGGTCAACAGCTACATCCACCCTTGTGTCATCACGCTTTGTGTTTCTTGGTATTGTGACGTCATTGATGTGCTTCCATTGTTTGTCATACACACTGATGCATCCTGTCAAACTGTCCCCTGCACATCCATCACTGTATTTACCGCATACTACCTTGCTATCATTCAGCAATGCACAGGAAGAAACCAATGATGTATTACTACCTGTTATCACTCTCTGATTGTCTTTAGCGTTCATATCGAACATGCATGTATGACAGGCATCTATATTTGTGATGATTACATTGCATTCATCAATGCATCCTACAATGGTTGGCGATGTAAATGTCTCTTTAACTTCAATTGTGTCCATGAGCATCCACTCCCCATCATACCCATCTATCCTCCCATCATACTCTTTTCTCATAGCACCCTTCACAAACCTCACACCCGATATGACCCCAGTGATTTGTTTCACATCACCCTCATTCAGTGGTTTCTTTAGTTCGTCATTCACTGATGTAATCACACGATGCCCGTCTTTGACGACATTTTCATCGTTTTCGAGTAATGTATCGATTGTCTGTATTGTAGTCTCAGTGGTTTTTGTGTCATCTTGCCATGATATCTCCAACTTACCAATCTTTATTTCTTTCTCTACAGCGATGTTATTAATGTCTGTTTGAAGAGCATGTTGTTTATTGTCGATAGGTTCTCGTCTTTGCACTGCATTTGTATGGTTTAATTCAAGTCGTTTTTCTCTCTCTTCATCGTTCTTTCGAATCTTTTCATTGATCTTTTTAAGCTCCTCGTGAAGTTTCTGATTCTTCTCATCAATCTCATGGTTGATTTTTGTAGCATCCTCCTTCTCTCTGTCTTTGACTGTTTGGATCGCCTCATCGATTACCGACTCTACTTCATCTTTCAAAGCTTGTAGATGGGCGTCGGCGTCGTTCCTGCACTGACGAATCTGATCTCCATAAACTCGACAAAGCTTTAATTTGTCCTTTGCTTTTTCTTTCAAATCGTTTAGTTTTGCTTTATTTTCCATGATCGTGCCCGTTATATCCTGTCGCACGCTAGGCTGCTCAGGATGATCTATCATTGCGCATACATAACACACAGCTTCACCATGTGTTTTACAAAGTAGTTTGATTTCTTCATCATGCTTCTCACAATAAAGCTTGGGCCCACCCTTTCTTGCTTTTCCGATGCATCCTTCTTTTAGGACGCAGTCATCGCAAAGCTTCTTTTTCTCATTCACGTAGTATAACACATCCGTGAATGCCTTGCAGTTCTCTCCTTCACAGTTGTCTTCTCTAGAACTTAAGTAAGCCGCCATGCTGATCAGAGTATAGACCTGTAAACGAGGATAAGAACGATTCACCAGAGAGAGGTGTGAGAGAGAGAGACATCAAGAGAGGTTCGGAGAGAGGAGGAAAAGGAGAGAGGAGGAAGTGAAGAGAGAGAGGGGGGAGGGAGAAAGAGATAGAGAGAAAGAGAGAGAGCGAATGAGAGGTGCAGGGGACGGGGAAGGAGAGATAAAGGGAGAGGGAACGGAGAGACAGGAAGAGATAAGAAGGGAGAAGAAGATAGGAAGGTGGGGAGAGAGCAGGAGAGAGGAAAGCAGGATGAGGGAAGGAGGGTTAGAGGAAGGAAGAGAGACGAAGGGGTAGTCAGGGGGAAAGGAAAAGATCGGAGGAAGGAAGGGGGAGAGCAAAAGTGAAAAAGAAAGGATACTGGAATATTGGGGAGTGAAGGAGATGAAGAAATAGAGGGAGGTATAGATAAAGAAAAGAAAGGAGAGACGGAGCGAGAGAAAGAGAAGACAGTGACCTCAATTAGTCATTTTACTTTGTACAAGTTTGTTTTAATGTTAATGGATGGCAGTGTATTTCCACTGGTGAAATTTGAAATAGATTAACAATTTGGAATTAAAAGTTATTTTTATCATTTATCTAAACAATCACTTGTGTGATCTTAAATTGTGAGGATTTTCATCGGCAACAACCATCGGTAACTTTAATTTGTATAAAGGGAAATTAAGTTTATTTCAGTCTAAGTTATCAAAATGTAAATTATACATGAATTGCCCAAAACATTTGTTCTTCTACATGCTTTATCTTGATTAGACAGAAGGGAACTAATATATTTATTAATATTATTTGTATAAATCATAATAATTGACCAAATTAGTCATTTTCTAGCAAAATTTAATCTTGTTCTTTACATAGATTAAGGATTGTGTGCACGATCGTATAGCGATATTATGGTTTGATATTATAAAGTGGCCAAGACATGTCGAGCAATGTATGCTGCGCTTTATAACTGCAAGGAGGAGCTGCTACATTATATTAAATACATTTTGCATTAGAGTGGAATAAGCTCTTTAATTGTGTTTGCAAACCAATATTATACTGCGTTTTATAGATCGCGTTAAGGACCACACACGGTGTATTATTACATCAAAACATTGCGTACTCCCAAAACAGTGTACCCAACTTTGAAAGCTTCTGATTATAACCTATGTGACCTTGATTAATATTTCATGAGGGGAGGGGCACGAACCCTCTTGTTCCCTTCGTAGCTACGCCACTTCATCTTGTAAATATAGCGGTGCGTAAAGCTTTTTATCTGTTAAAGAAAATAATACTGGAGTTCATGGAAGGAACTTAATATCTCAGATTGACGAACATGTATATATACTGGCTTTTGTAGTTGTAGTTTGGATATAAGAGAAACTTATGCTAAGAAGTATACATAATATAGTATGCATATCTTACTGGCTACAAGATATCCCTATTATGACCTGTATATAATAATTTTATACTGCAGGTGCTAACATAACTAAAAGAATGGTGAACTTACCCCTCGAAAAACGTATGGTAGCACAGGAATGAACTCTGTAAAGGCCACAGTATAGCGATAATCGGATTTATATTGCAATATTTACCTAATGGCACAAGAATATAATTAGAGCGGTAGTTTACATGCAATAGTAAGGAAGTCAAAGCCTCGTGGAAATAAAGATTTCGCAATATTTTTTCAAAGGAAGTGAGAGCAACGAAAGTTCTGCCAGCGTAAGAGCAGACAAACTGAATATGTGAGCAATGCGTTTGAAAAAAGTGCTCAGTAGAGTCCACAGAGGAGCAATATTCATGAAGAGTTCAACATACAATAGTCAAAAAGTCAAAACCTCGGGGAAATAACGATTTCGCAATATTTTTTAAAAGAAAAATTTGAAACTTCCTTTAAATGGAAAAAGAGGAGTTGAATATGTGAAGCAATGCCTTTGAAATAAGTGCTCAATATCTATATTTAAATAATAACCCCTTCACCGACAGTTTGCAGTGATTGTATAATTCAAGTTCAAGAAATAAACGAGAAAATCCTATAAAAACTTCTCGTTTATTTCTTAAACTTGGATTATACAATCACTGCATACTATCGATGAAGGGGTTGTCATTTAAATATGAATGTCAATATTTCTACACTGTGTTCTTCACTGAGCAATTATTCTGAAGGCATCGCATAGATATTCAGATCCTCTGCTCTTCCACTGGCATAACAATTGCAATTTATTCGTCGCTCTCACTTCCTTTGACAAATATTGCGCAATCTTTATTTCCCCGAGGCTTTGACTCTCTTACTATTGCACAATAAACTCTTTACGTACCACTTGAATGATATTCCTGTGCCATTTAGGTATAATATTGAAATATAAATACGAATGTTGCTCTGCTGTGGCCTTTACCGAGTGCATTCCTGTGCTACCATACGTTTCTTAACTGGTGAGTTTGTTATTCTTTTAGTTCATTTTAGAACTTGCAGTTTAAAATTATTTAATACAAGTTATGACTATTCTACTAAAGACATGCGGGTATCATGTAGCCAAACAGACCTGCATATTAGTGGTATGTATGCTTTTAAATAAGCAATTACTATATAGCAACCACGAAGGTTTATGCAAAGTGAATTTCAATCATGAAAATGACCTCATTTAGAGGTTGTGTGTGGAAAGGTTAATAACCGAGGGTTAGGGGAAAAAACACGAGTAAATTGAAATACAATAATCAGCACGTATATTAAAGTGGAAATTCAAAAAAAAATCACAAATATGTCAACTAATGTATCACTAGAAATTGGTAAGCTAACAGATAGCCATCGTACAAGTTTTAGGTCAACTACATATCGGGTGATTTTTAAAATTACAAACACAACCAAAACCATGGGACATCGTCTGCTTGTGCAAATCAGGTCCATCCTGTGATCTCACACATCTCAGCAGCGTTCGGAGAGCTCTCCAGGTGCTATGCTGGGGCTATATTTAAGCGTTTTGTAATTTGTAATAACCATTACTTCGAATGTTTCTAAGCATTGAATTGTGATAACCTTGTCGAATCAAAGGTTCAACTTTGCAATAATGAAAAAAAAAAGTTAGATTTTTAAATCAATGAATATCTACTTTAAGACCGTACATAAGTGCATTATTAGGCAAAACTTTTGTAATTTACGTTACATATTGTAACATAGTACGTATTACTCCTATTTTTCTTGTTTAAGCTTCTATGTAGTTCCTGAAACTTTTTGTATTTCTTTTCCTCTCCTCACCCCTTGTCACAACACCATTCTACGTCCTTAAATTCACAGTCTATCAAAATATAACGTCCACTATCGTCTTGCTCTTCGTTAATGAGATTAAAATCAACAGAAGTCTTTAATAGAATAAGTACCCCTCTGTTGTGATTAGATCCGTGACTATAATACCATGCCCCGTGCCACATACAACTCCACGTGTCATCAAGGTAAATTTCAAAAGCGCTGGCCAATAGTCCCCCATGCGTCCCCTATGTGTGAAAGGGCCAACTAGAGGAGCAAATCTACGAATCAAATTAATAGTCGTGTTCACACGATGGCTATTTTGGTCGGCATGAAGGTCGTGCTTAGAGCTAGTCGGCGTAAATATGGTGAGGTTTGCGTAAATGTCGGCGTAGTCACGTGATCGTCTAACGAACGTCGTGTTAGCTACACTGACCTTTATATTACACCGACCGATTTAATCTTGAATATATACAGGAGTAATGCGCTAACACTACTAGAGGGTTTACTGTGTGTATGTTCTCGGAATATATGTGACCTTTCACGAGGGTTGCTTGTTTACAACCAAACATTTAAATGAAATTTCGCACGGTTTAGATACGGAAGGTGGGTTCAGGTATACTAGTGCGGGCGACAACACAACTAGGGGCAGATCATTTTACCTTCAGAAATGCCTCATAACGTTCCATGAGGCATATTACGGTTACAAAATATCCAGGCCCCTTTAGCGGACTCCGGACCCCCCCCCCCCTTTTTTTTTTTTTATAGAAAATCCTGTATCAGCCCCTGACTTATAGCGGTTGCGCTGAGTAAGACTGGGTCAGTGGAAGGTCGTGTTAAGTTAATCTTGGCAAGGTGGTCCAAGCTAGAGGGTATGGATAACTGATGTGTAAGTCAAATAATTACGAGGTATTTAATGCTGCGGGATTGATTGCGCCGACCAGGAAGCCCGCGTTTAAACTTGACTCTAAGGTTCAAATTTTCCAGGGGCAAAAAGGGCAAAGGCTTAGCACTTAGCTCTCACAATTTAATACATTTCGCCCTCCCCTCCCCTTCGGAAAATCCTTGATCCGCCCCTGATATTCGGAAGATACGCTTTGGATTAAACTGGAAGGTAATGGTATTTTAATCGTGGTAAGTGGGTCCGAGTAAGAGGAGATGGACAACTTATGATGTAACTCAAAATACGTTGGAGACATTTACTGATGCAGGGATTAACTAACGCCAACTAGGATGCCCCCGTCTGAAAGGCTAATTAAAAAGGACATTTGCGTATGTTCCCAACACCTATGATATTTCAAAGTCTTCAGACAAACACTTTACCCAATGCAGGAATGTCTCAAGTTCTATGACCCAAAGTAGCCATATTCAGAAGGGGCTTCCTAGTAGGCGTAACTTAAACGTTTCAGCAATAAATATTTCATACAAATTTGATTTTACACATCAGTTGTCCATACGCTCTTACTCGGATAAATGTGCACGTTTGTGTTAACACGACCTTCCACCGACCCAGTCTTACGCAGTGTAACTTCTGGAAGTGGCGAGACGCCCGCACTAGTCGACCTCAGCCCAGCTTCTGCAACTAAACGCGCGAAATCTAATTTCCATTGACGAATGTAAACAATCGTACTAGCGCGTTACTCCTGGACAAATCCAGTAGTAAATCAAAGGCGTAAAGGTCGGCGTATATAGCACGACTATCGTGGCCTTACCATGTTTACACCAAATAGCTGTAAACACGACCTTTACGGTGATTCTCTTCGGTATCCGTCGATTATAATTTTGCCTTTAATTTTTAGAAATCAGCTCTTTGCCGTTGGAACAAGTTCTAGCAAGGAATAGCAACAATCTTGATCATGGGCAATGCATCTTCTTCCCCTCGGATTCACAACAACACTGATGAAATACTGAAGATTGTTTGCACGGACAAAGACGGCAGAGAAACAAGTCAGATTGTGAGGAAAATGGATTCGTGGCAGCCGACGATCCCGTACGGCAAGGTAATCATCTCGGTCTACATCCTCGCCGAAGGTGTCCCGGTAGCTGGTCAGGGAGATGCCGTCCTGAGTGCAGCAGAGTCTTGCTATGATTTCACTGTTCAACTTGTGAAAGGAATGGTCAATATTACACAGGATTACAGCAATCAGTCGAGGTATTATGAAAATAATGAAGATAATTATGATGGTGATGTACATGATGATGGTGATGTTGGTAATGATGATTTTAGTGAAGGTGGTGACGATAACGGTGGTGATGATGGTGATAATGATGAAGATGGTGATGATGGTTATAATGATGACCATGATGATGGTGGTGATGTTCATGGTATTGATAATGATGATGGCGATGGTGATTATGATGGTGGTAATGGTCGTGATGATGACGGTGGTTGTGTTGGTGATGATGATGATGATGTTTGCGATGATGATGGTGGTGATAGCGATGATGATGATGATGTTGGTAAAAATTATGATAGTGGTGATGGTGGTGATGATGATGATGATGATGGTGGTGGTGATGATGATGATGGTGATGGTTGTGGTGGTGATGATGATGGTGGTGGTGGTGATGATAATGATGGTGGTTATGGTGATGGTGATGATTATGATGATGACGATGATGATGGCTGAGATGATAATGATGATGATGACGATTATAAAGATGATGATGGTGAATTCGGTGGTGATGATAAATTAGGATGACAAGGATGGCGATGATGAAGGTGATACTAGCCATGATGCCAGAATACTGTATTTTTTTTTTTGTTATTCTATTTGTTGTTTCTGTTTTTAATGAAGGAAAATTGGGGATATTCCTCGCATCACAAACGCGACAAATGGAACACTGACGATCCTCTGTACGGATAAAGATGGCAGAAAGACGAGTCAGATTGTGACGTCACAGAACATGTGGCATCCGTCCATCCCGTCAGGTCCTCTCACAGTATTTGCGTCACATCTTCAAAGTGGCTTCGACAAGGACGTAGAAGGAGCAGTCTACACCGCAACATCTTCTGATAATTTTACCGTTAAACTTGTCGAAGGAAGACTCAATATTAAGCTTCAATAAAGCAAGATAGCGTTGCTTAATTAGCCATAAAATTATAAGTCGGGAGGAGGGTGGGGGCTATTGAAAATAGGAAGTGAACTGAACTGAGGATTTTATGTTGTTTCATCATATTTGATTTGTCAAGCTCAAATATACATAACATTTTAAAAAGAGCAGTACGAAGTACCAACAAAAAAAGAGCACACGAGGAATTGATATGGCCTATTAGATTTCGAGAGGTTAAACGAAGAGATCCTATAATTTGCATACATGCAAAACCTGTGTGGGTTCTTGGGTGCATGTTTTCGTGTGTGTGTCTGTGTGTAATTTGATTTTTACAAACGTGCGTCGATCGGATGTAATAGGGACTTTTAGATTTGCACGTCGACAGCTTTGACTGCAACGTGTGACGTCATTTTAAGGCACTGCGCATGCGTCACGTCGTCTCAGTCGGCGATCGCGAATGCGTCAACCTTGATTTTTTTCCTAAATCTAGTACGGTACTAGTATATGCCGCGTGCGCATAAAATATACAGTTCCTCAGGTAGACAAAGGAACATCCTTTCCCTGCTATTATGTAAAAATGTGTAAAACAGGTGTCACATGCATATTCACCTGTTTTACACATTTTTACATAATAGCAGTGAAGAGATGTTCTACCACAGCAATCGGCTTTTTTCGTAATGTAACCAAATGTAATGCATAAGTGTTTGTGAAGTGCCTCAATACAAATTATTTCATTCACCTGATAGGAATAATAGTATTTCAATAGTCAGAATGCAACTGCATATATTAAGTGTTGCTAGGTAGGTCAAGCCATAATGCTTGTCCAACCTGACAACAACTAATATATGCAGTTTGGATTATGTATATTGAAATACTATTTATCCTTATCAGGTGAATGAAATAATTTGTATTGAGCCACTTCACAAAGACGTATGAATTAAATTTGTTACATTACGAAAATGGACTATTGTTGAGGGTAGAATGAGGAACTGCATATTTTGTCCTCTTTCTATGTCCGTCATGTTCATAGTGTTACTTCCTGCATGCATGTATATCGTCGAGTGCAATCTAAAAGATTTCTAATTGTAGTCAATGATTACGTTGACACGTATGATCAGTCGGCATTCGTCGTGTTCTCGTCCACTCAATCTAAAAGTCCCTAATAATTTACCTCTGTGACGTGACGTCTGAGTGAGTTTGTAGGCGAGGACAGAAAGCTCACCAAGTAAACGTTGCACATCTCTTTTCCCTTCTTTGATATTACTAGTCATCGGACATTTTTTATTTAATTTTTGGTTTTTGTAATCCATTATAGAAACCAACATTTGTTGGTGGAAAAACTGCTGCAATATTTTTAAATTGCCTATACTACATAACATAATTCCTGTTTGCATTAAAAAAATCCAGGTATCACTTGTAAAGTTTGTAAATCTTTTTATTTTATAAGACAAACAAAAATAAATAATGGAAAGTAAAGATGCGGAAAGAAAATTAAAAAAGAACAATGCACTGTTGTATTTTTTCCCCGAAATTAGAATATTTTTTTGGAAAATTAAACACTGTTTTTTTCCTATGATTGAGATCATTATTATTACTATCATTATTATTATTATTATCGTTATCGTTATTGATATCATTATGATATCGGTGTTGTTATTATCATTATTAATAATGTTTATAATTTGTATAAGTAGTAGCATTAATAACTTTTTATTGTAATCATTAATGTTGTAGTATTATCATTATCATTCGCACATGCCTTTATAACGGATTGGGAAGAGGAGTAGGGTGTTTGAGATTATTGCATAAAGACTATATATGTATGTATAGAATGCGGACTGGAAAGGACGGGTGTCTTCTGTTTTGATTGTTTTGCTTCTTTGTTATTTCTTTCAACGAGTTTTTCTTTCTTCAAGTTCTCTTTTTTCAGGGCTACTACTGTGTTTCAGTTTAAATGTATTATTTCGTGTATAAAACATTGTTTATTAATAGCAAAATTGTATTAAAAAGCCTACGTAGGTATATTACTTTTGAAAATTGTTTTTTAAATATTATTGTGGCTGTAAACAAGAAAAGGTACGATTTTTTGTAAAACTTGTTGATTTAAGTCATTTAACATATGAATGATAGCAAAATTGTATTAAAAAGCCTACGTAGGTATATTACTTTTGAAAATTGTTTTTTAAATATTATTGTGGCTGTAAACAAGAAAAGGTACGATTTTTTGTAAAACTTGTTGATTTAAGTCATTTAACATATGAATGATAGGATTTGTACTAACTTTATTTTGATTTGTACTACTTCTGTTCGGAGAAATAAAACATTTGATTTAAAAAATAAATAATAATGTGAACTACAATGGAGATCTCTTTACATGCTCTTAAGGTTCGTTCAGATATAATACGGAAAAATGTACGGTCAATGTAAAAATATTCACTGAATATGCTGACCATGTGTTTGTTTCACACATCAGGAAACTTTTGGAAGACAGCAAACGAGTTTGGGACATTTATCTTCCAAGGAGCATCTAAGGGTCTACCTTGGAAAATCGAGGTAAAGGGACAAGAAGTAGAGTCTCTGCTCAAACACAGATCCCAGTAAACTAGCAAATTTCTAAGAGATCCCACAAATAAGGAAGCACTATTTGAATTTCTTTCAGATAGAGTATCTGCCACAGATTGTCTGCTTGATAAATAGGTATTCATAACTTCTGGTGCCAGAGTTCTTTTAAGGGCAGTAGATCATACTTTGCCTATTACATTCAATCACGAGAAAGCGGATACCGGAATACTTATTCATCTGAAAGATGCGTTGGAGAACAGCTCAACGACTTACTTGGTCCGGACTGTTGAGAAAGATGTCGTCATTATTCTTTTCCCATCATCTACTGTCTCTATGTCCCACCGCAGATGTATGGGTAGCTTTTGGCACATGGAAAAGCTTTACTCCTGCAGTACCACATCAATGCAATATTCCATGCTCTAGGAAAGGACAGATCGTTGGCTTTACCCATGTTCCACAGCTTCAAAGGATGTGATACAGTATCTGCATTCTACAACAAAGGCAAACGAATAGCATGGCGAGCCCGGGAATATTTTCCTGAAGTAACAGAGGCATTCGCCTACTTGGCACAACATCCCTTCACTCATATTCAAACTGATTGAACATTTCACCGTTGTTCTCTATGACAAAACAAGCCAGTTGACTTATGTGAACAGTGCCGCAGGGACATATTCTGTCACAAAACCAGGGCAAAATCCCTCCGACCCAACATGCCTTACTGCAACACTTGAAGCGGGCTGTGTTTCAGGCCAGCATCTGGACCACTAGCCATCAAAGTGAGCAGAATCAACCAAGTCCAGAAGCATGGGGCTGGACATAAGATAAGGACAGTGAATGCTGGATTCCAGTCTGGAGTACACTGCCTGCAGCTTCCAAAGCATGCAGTGAATTGATAAAGTGCAACTGTAAGAGGTCAACTGTAAGCGGTGCATGGTAGATATCATTTCAAGAAGGCTGTGTGGATATGCCCCGAGCTCTGTAACTGTAATTGTGACAAGTAGATTTCCTAAATGTTTGTCATCTTACTTCAGTTGGAGATCCAGGTTAATCAATAATAGAGTATATTGGAAATTATTTGTTTGAAACTGACTAAACTGACATTGCAAAATGAAGTGCAGTCCTCAAAGTAATTAAGCAATTTGTCTAATCTGTCATGTCTAAATTTATTTTGAAGCGAGTTACGATATCACAAATTATCCCTGTGTATTGCCGTCTGCACTGGTTTTATTGTAATTGTATATTTATTGTATCGAATTCCATACTTCACTAGATTCTTCTCTTTCTCTCTCCCCCTCTCTCTCTCTCTCTCTCTCTTTCTCTCTTCCACTACTTCCTCTTCCTCTTTTTCGTGTCCTGCCTACTCTTCTCTTTCTGTCGCCTTCTCCGTCTTCAGTTCCCCCCCTCTCTCTCTATCTCTCTCTCTACCTGTGCCTACCCCTTATGTTTCCTTACTTGTTCCATTCCTTTCTGTCTCTGAACCAGTGTTTCTCTATGTTTGTCTTGCTCATATCTTTTCTTAGTTTGACCACACATTTGTTTCGTTAGACGTCCTGAATCTATATCTTCTTCGCATATTCATCCTACAAACTATTTGGTCTTAACCCTAGCTTGGCAATCATTCCACACACTGAGGTTTGGCTCAATAACTTCTGATTTAGAGTCTTAGAAAAATATGCCACATTTATGTCTGAGTAGAAAGGCACCACTTCCTACATACATTGCATCTATATTTTTGTTTGTTTCACGAATATAATGCATTTGATGCCAGGAATTAAATATAAATGAAAATGAGAATTAAAATCCTTAAGTTTGCGATACGTTTATAAATTCAATGTTATTGTTTTCTGACCAAAATGTGGATTTGTTTTTCCCGCGGCAATATTTGCGCCCATTTATATTGTTTTCAAAGATCATTGTTGCCAATTTGAAGAACAGTATCTCATAAATTTAGCTCTACCTATAAATCCTGTCTCTAGATGGTTGACGGCACAGCAACTGGGGTGAATTAGTGATAGTAAGAAGAAAACAAAATAAAACAAATTTTAACTCTTAAATATTTCATGGTCACTCAATCTCGCCATTTATTATTATGATGATCTTATGTCCATAGACTGCTCAATCGATATGTATTATGTTATAGTTTCACGACCAATTACACCTTTTTACTAATTTAATGCATACATTTTTACAGAGACAATTCCCGTGTTAAACTCCATCTTATATATCAAATACGTATACACTTCGATCGTAATCACAGCAGATTTTCTTGCTGTACATTATGCACAAACTGGAAAATGATACTTCTTAGCATCAGTTTTATAACTCAAAACAATTTAGTATATTTATAATGTAAAGAAATATGAACATCAACATTTTAAACACTATTCAGGTGTATTGTGAAAACAAATATTCGATTTTTCTCGTTTTGGTCATGCAATAATTGTGTTGTGCGGAAATATTATTATAAAATTGTTCTACATTTACGCAACAAGCCTAGCCTTTGAATATATTAATTTTTCATTGCCGTATTTCATGATTTAAAGAAAATTCTTTCATGTTTTCAATTACTATGATTCAGTATTATCTACTTCAATATATGCATAATCTGAAGAATGATTTGTATTTTTTGCAAGGGAACTGAATAATAGCAAACATATCAATGAAATAATGGCCGTTTATTAACTGATAAAATGCTTTATAAACATATGCTCATTTTGTATAAGCTAAGACTATGGACACATGTTTTGCTTCTATGTTATGTACGAAAAAGATGGATTTTTGAGAAATAAAATCAATGAATACAAAATCATTTCCATCTGTGTAGAATTCATCATCCCTAATAATTAGGATTATAT